GTATTTTATCAGAGCCTGGTGCTAATACCATATTTTGTTCTTATTATCGTTGGATTAAATAAGAGGGAAATATTTGTTTTTGTACAGCTCCTATTTCTATTATGCTTTCATTTGCGTATATATTAATTGATAAATCTAGAATAAAGACTTTTAAAATATGGTCCTAAATATACTAGGGGAGACCGAGGCTAGTTGCCGCAGTTTCAATATTTTTAAATGTATGCATTCACGTGTTTGATTTAAAATCAACTAATTAAGATTAATGAATACATTCGTTAATTCATTCAATATAATGCATTAGTCGATAATACAATTTTCGACCATAAGCTACAGTATAAATATACATATAAAAACTCCAGTGGGCATATATCTATGATCGATTTCATAGTCACTAATAGAAAAATCCGCCCAAGGCAAATTCTAGGTATCAGATTTTTTAACTCAATAGACGCAGATATACATTAATATATAATCACTGTGAAACGAGTCTATAAGAGAAATATACCAAAGGAAGCTGGCACAAATGATAACGGGTTGAGACTAATAAACTTTGCAAGTACTAAAAACATGATAGTAGGAGGAACAAGATTTCCCCATAAAATGATACACAAAGGAACATGGAAATCCCCTGATAACGAAACCATTAACCAGATAGATCACATCCTGATAGACGCAAGGCACTCTTCCGATCTCATAGACGTCAGAAGCTACCGAGGCCCAAACATTGACAGTGACCACTTTCTTGTAATGGCAAAAATCAGAGGAAGAATATCAAACCTAAAGAAAGATAAACACACGAAACAAGACAGAATTAATGTTGATAATCTGCGCATTGAAACCGTTGCGAGAGAGTATAGGAGACAAAGGGACGAGGAAATGGAGAGCCTGGAGGTGGGGGAAAATGTAGAGGAACTGTGGACAAAATGTAAAAACATAATAACTGAGAAAGCAACAAAAATATTGGGGAAAACCAAACCAGTTAAAGAAAACGAATGGTTTGACAAGGAGTGCCAAGAAGCAACAGATAACAAAAACAGGGCATACCTAAAGACAAATCAAGCTGGATGCACAAGAAGAGCAAAGGAAGAATACCGGACACTAAGAAGAGAAGAAAAACGATTACATAAAAGACAAAAAAAAGACAATTTGAGCAAAAGCAATTGGAAAGCACAGAATGGCTAAGAAATCAAAATGAAACTCGAAAGTTCTACAGAAATCTAAACAAAATGCGCAAAGAGTTTAAGCCAAGAATAAGAAGCTGTAAGGACGTAGAAGGAAACATCCCAAATGATACGGCCTCAATCCTAAACAGATGGGTTGAATTTTTCGATGCAAAATTTAATGGCCATCATATCGAAGAAGCAGACAACACCCTAGCAAATCAAAATGATTGAAATCCTTTCAACCCAAACGAAAAGCCACCTACCATCGAAAACGTTACCCAAGCCATTAAAAAGCTTAAAAATAATAAATCACCAGGAGTTGATCAAATTTGCAGTGAGCTTCACAAGAATGGTGGCGATGCCCTATTACAGACACTGCATAAGCTTTTACTTCTTGTTTGGCATAATGAGACCAAGCCTTGTGAATGGTCTCAAGGCGTGATATGCTCGGTACATAAAAAAGGTGACCAGCTCCAGTGTGACAACTATAGAGGTATAACCCTGTTAACAACTGCTTACAAAATACTAGCAAATATTCTCTACGAAAGGTTGCAAGTTTACACAGTGGGCATAGTTGGTAAATATCAAGTTGGATTCACTCCAGAAAAATCAACAATTGACCAGATTCATTCAATAAGACAGATTCTCGAGAAAACATTAGAATTCAATATTGAAACCCATCACCTATTCGTCGACTTCAAGGCCGCATACGACAGTGTCAAGAGAACAGTGCTATACCAATCAATGCATGAGTTTGGTATACCAGAGAAACTTATTCGACTAACGAGAATGACAATGTCTAACTTAGAATCCACTGTTAGAATACAGAGAGAGAGTTCTAGATCCTTTGAGATAAAGGATGGACTCAGACAAGGAGATACTCTGGCTTGCCTCCTATTTAATATTGCCTTAGAAAAGGCAGTCCGAGATACACGAATTAGGGATGGCGGTACTATTTACAATAGATCGATACAAGTCTTAGCATATGCTGATGACATTGACATAGTAGGGCGTAGCAAGCGAGATGTTGAGCAATATCTCCTAGAATTGGAAACAGCGGCGAAACAGGTCGGTCTAGTCATCAACGAAGACAAAACCAAGTACATGTTGGTTACAAAGGATCCGATAGCAAATGAGAAACGAGAAACAGTCTTTGGAAGTCATACCTTTGTACGTGTTGACAACTTCACATACCTTGGGTCGCTATTGACTGCTACCAATAAAACAAGCGAAGAAATCAAAAGACGAATAAATCTTACAAATAGGGCATACTATGGACTACAAAAGCATTTCCACTTAAGAAACATTCAAAGAAGAACTAAAATTATTATATACAAAACATTGCTGAGGCCGGTCCTCACATATGGAGCAGAAACATGGACACTAACGCAGAAAGATGAAAAATTTTTGGGAATATTTGAGCGTAAAATACTCCGCAAAATATTTGGAGCTGTAAACGACCAAGGGCAGTGGCGCAGAAGATATAATTTTGAATTGTATCAGCTCTTTCATGAGCCAGATGTCATATCGTTCATTAAAACACAGCGACTTAGATGGGCTGGACACATAATACGAATGCCAGAAAATAACATTGCTAAAAAGCTAACCACAGGAACACCTGTAGGAAAAAGAAGTAAAGGCCAACCGCGAATTAGGTGGTTAGATGGAGTAGAAACTGACTTACGAATATTAAAAATCAGAAGATGGCAACATGTTGCCAAAAACCGAACAGAATGGCAACGAATCTTAGAGCAGGCCAAGATCCACAGAGGATTGTCGAGCCAAAGATGATGATGAAGCTGGCACAAAAGATACAGCTGAAAAAAATAGACGACATCGAAGATATAAACGCGAGCTGGGAGAAAATTAAAAATAACATTGAAGAAGCAGCAACAGAAGCTCTAGGAAAACGCAAAGTCATACTAAACAAAAGAAACAACAATGCACCATGGTTCAGAAAAGAAATTAAAGAGAAATGTAAAGAGAAACAAGAGGCCTGCACGAAGTACAAAATATCAAATACCCCAGAATCCCGAGACAATTATAGAAGAATACGAAATGAAACAAAAGCAGATGGTAAAAAGAACAAACAATGAACACTGGGAACAGTTTACAAAAAGGACGGAAAGCGACTTGTACGGTACACAAAAACAAATATGGAGATTTATAAGAAACCAACAAAAAGAAATGGCAGAATTGAAGGAATACAATAACATACCAGCAAACGAATGGGAAACATACCTGACGGAACTGTTTAAAGCAAAGTTAAAACAAAGGAAAATAATAATCAACACAATAACGTACCTGAATTAAGTTAACGTACAAGTTGAAATAGCCATAAATTTACTCAAAAATAGAAAGTCACCATGACCAGAGGTAATAACCAACGAGCTTCTAAAATACGGAGGAGAAAGTAGAATCCTAGAGACGACAAAACTTATACAAAAACTAACATTATACTGTAAGGTACCAGATGCATGGAGAAACAGCATAATGATAACAATGTTCAAGATATAAGATAAAGAATATCCCAACAATTATAGAGGTATAAATGTACTGAACATTGCACTTAAGCTTACCAACAAAAGTCCTAACCAACAAAATCAATAAACTAACAACTTTATCAGATAAATAACAAGGATTCAGATTTAAAAGATCCTGCGTAGATACTCCAACGAATATCAGGGAAAAGTCGGTTGGAAAGGGAGAGAAGTGAAACTACAAGAAGATCATGCAATATAGAATACAGAAAGGGATGACTGACAAAACAAAAACAGGAGTGGAACTGACACATCAGTAGAATAGCAGAGGATAGAATAGTATCAACAGCACAAGGTAAGTCATCAAAGGTATAAAGAAGTATTGGCAGACCAAAAAAAAGATGATGGGACAATTTAAATAATTTAGGAAGCTAATATTGAAGAAGAAACAGGCTTTAAAGCCTACATACAAGAAAAAAGAAGATGTTTTAAAACTTATGACAGTTAATAAACAATACTAACATTTTTTACGGATACATTAAAGCAAAGTTTAGTATTTATTGGCCAAACAAGGTTCTACAAGACTTTAAATTATTTATTAGGCCTATTTATCATTACAGCTTTTCCAGTACATTATTTATTTATTTTTTTTAATAACAGTATTGTCTGTTCGAATTTGATGGCTATGTGGATGCAGACGACAATTTCTCTGAGACAAACTCAATTTATAGAACTCAATCACAATCCTCGACTTGCTATGCAGTCGACATGTTTCAGTACTTTAGTACAACACTTGAAAAGGGCGCGCCAATATACTCTTATAAAAAAAGACAAATAATTATAGCGGGAAGAAGATT